TTTAGCATAATTAATCTGAAGCAAACCAGCTTTTTTGTTTTCTCATCCTTTTGGTTTGGTTCCTCATCTTCTGGGCTACCAAATTGTTTTCTGGTCTGTTTAGATTCTCTTGCCTTTTGTTTCCAGGTGGAATTTGCTCATGAATTTCCCCCTGAAGAGGTGGAGAACCTGGCTGTGTGGCAGCACGTGTCCCTCAGAGCCCTGAGCGCTGACCTCAGGGCACAAGTGTTGTCTCAGCTGTGCTCGGCGGGGCTCCAGCGGTGCCGGCAGTGGCTGAGCAGCGGCCGAGCCTTGGGAGGGCTCCCCCCTGTGGTAAGGAGATCTGCTTCTCTCTGGAAAAATGACTGAACTCTCGTTTTTCAAAGGATTCTGTTGTTATCACCTCAGTTCTGTTAGCAGTCTGCTGCAAGAACTCTCATTTTAATGTTTTTTTTGTCGTATGTAGCACCTTAGGAGCTCTGCTGTGCTTTGGAGGTTCTGTGATTCTCTGTGTTTGCTCTCTGGCTGAGCAGATCTATTTTTCTTCAGAATTTCTCATTTATGCTGGACCTCAGCATACAATTCCTCTTCAGTTTTCAAACCTGCTGGTTTTATGCAGCACCAAATCTGAAAGATGCTCACTGGTCTCTTTGATGAAGGAACATGAGAAACCAGAGGCTTCCACATGAAATTTCTACTGCCAGTGCAGCAAATGACCTGCAGTGTGTGTGAAACTCAGGAGCCATGGATGATTTCCCAGCTCTGGAATCTTTGTTGGCTGCTCTCCTGCTGGATTAGCTGTTCTGAACAGCTGAGGCAGCACTTTGGGCTTCCTGCCACCTTGTAGCACTTTAGATGTTTCATATGAGCCTGGGGTTTTGGGTTGGTTTGCATGACGTGTTCTGGTTGGTCTCACACATTTTTTCCTCCTAGAACACTGCCCTTTCTGCCCTGCTGGCTGCCTGCAGTTCTGCTGATGCCACTCTGGAGGCAGAACTTCAGACATCTGTCCTGGGAATGCTCACTCAGTTCTGGTCTTTTCTCCAGGCTAAGCAGGTAAGAGAGTTTGCTGCTCCAGCAGTAAAAACATGTCTTGGTGCTGTTTCCTCAGGTTGTTGTTGCTCATTTGTTTCACTTGCATTGGACTGTTTCAGTGGTTTACCAGTGCTGCTCTTAGCTGGTTTTTCTGTAGGGCAGGATGAGCTCTGGGAAGCTTGAGTTTGAATTTCCTGAATGTTATTACATATTTGGTTCCTTGTTACTCCATCTGTTACTCAGTGTCACATTCAGACTTGCTCAAGGAGAAGCCTGAAATACCTGATTTTGTTTCATACCAGTTACAAATTCAGTGTATTTTCAATATTGATCAGAATGTGACCAAAACTCAGGGTGATTTCATTAGAGCACAGCCCAGCACATGGAGACACACAGGGACAATCACCCTCCTCCCAAAGTGCTCAAGCAGTGGCCTTGTCACCATGGACTTGTTCATGGCTGCAGCTGCATAAAGCAAAGAAAAAAAGGATTGTCAGGGTTTTCATGCTCCAGATTAAAAAATGAAGAGCCAACAATGTGCCCCTTCAGAGGTGTTTTCAAACCTCAGCCATTCTGTGAAGACATTTGGCAACTGAAAGTGAAAAGAAACAGTTCAGATAACCTTTAGGTGCTTGTTTTAGTGAGTGGTGCAAGGAGAGGAGGGTTAAGAAATGTTCTTCACAAAAATCAAAGAAAATGGGCTCATAAAAATATGACCACCTAGAAATACTGATATGAATATTTCAATATTTTCTTTGCTGCTTACAATGCAATGTTTTATATCAGGCTATGAACTTTGGAAAGCTACTGTAACTTGACATTCTCTCCTAAGCAGTTACTCCATGAGCTAAAATGCAGTGTTACTGATATCTTGTGCTCTCTTTAAGGTCTCAGATGAGCCATGTCTCCAGAAGACACTGTGTTTATTGCTTCACCTTTTGGAGGTTTTCATCCAAGCATTAGATGCTCAACTGATGACCCAGGTAAAAAAAATCCTAAAACCCCCAATGCCACCTTATGAATAATTCACTACATGAAAACCAAGTTCTTTGTGATTTGTTGACATCTCAAATGAGTTATTTCATGCTCTGGCCTTCTCTTAACAAGGAAATAATCTTCCTTGATTACTTTCCTGGCCTTCAAACTGAGCACGTGGCATTTTGGGAATGCTTTTGAGAATCTCTTTCCTGTGTAAGATAATTGAGATCTAAGGAAGTGCTCTAGGGATAATATTCATTTCTTCCTAAAATGCCCCCTGCAGCTTTATCCTGGCCAGTTCTATTGGAGATGCAGCAATTCCTTCAGGTTTCTGAGCTCCCTGTGTTTGGATTTGAGGATGAGCTGCTCAGTTTCACCTGCAGTCAGTGTGATGGGCTCTGCTGGGGTTTGTGTCCTGCAGGTGTTTGCACTGCAGTCATCTCTGCTCCAGCTGCATCCCCCTGATCATGTCCGTCTGGCCATGCTGGATTTTCTCTCTTCCATGGGAAAGGTGTTTATTCCACAAGAGGCACAGGTAAATGGAATGGTGGCCTTAGTGAAATGGCCTTGTCTTTTGATAAAAATACTTTTATTTAAATATACAGTTAAGGGATCAAGTTCATTAAATAGATACAGGAATGCCAGGGCAGTTGTCTTGGATTAACAGTCTGCAGCAGGTTTATTTTTCATCAAGATGTGCTGAGTGCATGCAAGATGCTTCAAATGCCAGTCCTTTCTCACTGGTGAGAGGCAACAAGAAGTGAGAATAGAATGTCACCTCCCTCCCAGTGCTTCTTCAGCCAGACAGAGCAGTAGCACTCTCACATTTCCCAAACCTGTCCCTCAGTATGAGAGCCAGCCTTCAGTAATAACTCATGAGGATGAGATATGCTCAGCTAACTCTTGGGAGCTGCTGGCTGTTTGTTCTGTTGCAGAGGCAGGTTGTGCCCCAGCTGTCCTGTCTGTTTGCCTCTCTGCTGGCTGACCAGACCTGGCTGATTCACCAGCACGCCCTGGAGGCATTCACACGTTTTGCAGAGGTGAGCAGAGCACAACTCTGGCTGCAGGCATTTGGGTGTGTTATCTTCTCTTGTACACAAATCCTCCTGACTCAAATGTTTGCTGCTCCTCACTGCACAATCTGGGTCTGGGTTACACACTGAAAGTGCTGGGGGCTGGTGCAGGTGGAAGAGATTTCAGGAGCTGAAAGTGAAGAAGGGTTGGGCCCTGGGTTGCTTAGATTGGTTACAAAACATCTATTTTGTACCCTTGTTAGCGTGGATGTACTGAACAACCAATAACATTTTTGACAGGAAACAAGACATGAAGATGTTGTTCCTTGGTGCCTTAATTCTGAAGAAGCCAAGAACAAAGTTGTTAATTTTCTGGATAAGGTATGTGTATTGTTTAACCATTTTGCTGCTGTCTTAGTTGATGCTGTACATGTGCTATCAGCAATATACAGCATGGGTCTTGCATTATCTGCATGGCCATTAAGTAACTTTAAAATAAACTGAATGGTTGAACTTCTCTACTTGCTTTCATCAGCAGAATTAGCAACTGCCATTCCTGTGTACACTGATCCTCCAGAACTTTCAACAAAAGCAAAGCATTTATCATCCTTAATCAAAAAATACTTACTAAATTGCACTGTTGTTTTTGAAAGAAGTTGCCTATTGAAAAGACAGGATTTGATAATTTGGTTTGATTTCCTTCCCCATTTCTCTTGGATCAGTTTCTGAGATCTAAATGAGCATGTATGAAACATCTCAGTGCCTTTTGCATATTAGGAGAAATCCTCTCAGGGCAGGTGGGTGTTCCTGCAGAACAGTGGTGTTGGGAAAGGGGGGACAGCTGCAACCTGAGACAGGGCTGTGCTTGAGCAGCTTTTGGCAAGCAGATAATTTACAGAAGAACTGGCAGTTGTGGATAACCTCAGCCTCTGATCCAGAAGAGTGTGTGAGAAATAATATTCTTTGAACTGCACATTAAAACCCCTCCCTCTCCCCCTTTTGTTCTGGCCTGTAAATTGTGCCTGTGAATGTTCAGTTACCTCTCCTGGGGCTTTCTCCCCAGACAAGGCAGGTGGAGGAGACAAGAGAAGCACGAACAGAACGCCTGAAGCAAGAAAGGATCACCTGGAGTGCAGCACAGGTTTTGAAAGTGGATCTAGAACTGGAGTCAACAGGAGAGGTATGTGTGATTCTGTTCATTTCTGTCACTTCTGGGGTGTCTCTGAAAAGCTGAGCTGCTCTTGCCGCCCTCCATGTTCTAAGAAAAAAGGTCACGTGCACTGCTGGCCCTTTGTATGGTATTTTAATGGTCTGTAGTGCCTGCCAGGCAGCAAGAACCCTCACAGGACAAGGGACTCTTGCAGCTCTGCTCCACCTAAGGGCTTTCTTACATTTGGATGAAGACTGATCCCTCAAGCACAGTATTAAATTGATGTTTCATGTTTGCTTAAATCTGCAGCCTGTGGCCAAAAGAGCCTGTCACCCACCCTCTGAGGAGCAGTACAAGGCAGCAGTAGGCACCATGGAGGGAGCAGTGGAGGCTGTGAAGCTGCTGCTCCAGAAAGGGCCCCCCCCAGGCTGGCTTGCAGGGAAGCTGGAGGCTCTGCACGCAGCCATGGCCACCCTCAGGGACAGCGTGTGGTAGGTGCTCCTCAGGCCTTGGGGACAGGGACCAGCTCAGCTCCCTGGGGGACGGAGGGAGGAGGTGCCTTTGTGCCAGGAGTGCTGCAGAAGAAAAGCTGTGCCATGGGGCAGTGCTGTGTGTGCCAGGATGGACTGAGGGGGGCAGTGCCAGCCTCTCCTGCACGGCCTGATGGCTTTGAGTGAGTGCACTACCGGACACGGGAGCTGTGGGTTTGTGTATTGCTTGTTCTTTTACTGTGTGCAGATAAACATTCCATGACATTGCATTCTGAACACTGAAAGGTTTGAATCTGTTGTAAAAGTAGCAGTGATCTTGTTCCTGTCACATGCAGGTACTCCACACTAGGGTGATAATTTAAAAATAATCTTTATTGTTCTTTACAGTTAAGAGCAGAAAGAACATGGTGCTTAAGCAGTTTCTGGTTGGTCACTGAATGGTTCCCAGCACCTCTGGTGCCATCCATTGACAGAACTATACAAACAGAAATAAATAAGTTGAATAAACTGTACATTCATCTTAAAATCATCTCTTAGCTGAAAAGTTAAAAGGAGCCATTTCTAAGGGCTTTATTTTTTTGGGAAAGGGAAAAGAAACCAAACAGGAAAACCAAAGGAAAAAGGCACATTAACCAAGAAACTCAGTGTGACTTTCATTTATTGTCAGCAGTTTTTCAGGGAAGGGGTGAGTTCTGGACCAATCTCCTCCACCCACCACTCTTGGCCTGCAGTAGCACATCAGCACCATCAGCTGTCCTGTCTCTGGGAGCAGGGGCAGCACCACAGCTGGGCATATTGCTGGAGTGCAGGCTCACCCCTGCAGCTTTTGGCACAGACTGGGAAGGAGCAGCCCTGGCAAGAGCTCAGGCCCCACAGGATCGTGTGGCTGTGCAGCAAGTGCCTGCCTTGTGGCAAAAGCAGTGCTGAGGTACTTTATTATCCATTGTACTGGGGAAGCAGCAGCTCCTGTCACAGGATCCAACACACCATCAATCACCTTGGTCTCCTTCAGAACTATTACCAGTTTGTGTCATCTTCCCAGTTCAACTCCTCTTCTTCACCCCAGCCTGTAGCTTCAGCCTGGAATCACATAAAATTATCAAGATTAAAGGATGTGGAATGTACTTGCGTGCTTAGCACAGCCCAGGAGCCAGGCAGGAGCCTGTGGGGCTTGGGATGGCAGAGCATTCATGCACAAGGCCAAAAGCCCAAAAATGAAATGTCAGTACTTGCAGCTTATGGTCTTAAAGAACTCTGCCTTTAAGGTGATTCCTCCTGTAGTTCAAAAGCAGACTTAACAGGGAGTCTTATTTTTTTTTACTCTTTGTATCAAACCCACTTCCCATTAAAAAAATGATGCCATACATTAGATGATTTCTTTCCCCTAGGAAAGAGCTGTTTTCAGGTTGTATTCTAACACTAAGTTTGATTTCCCCTTCCCACTGACACAGATCTCACTGCCTTCCCCCCACAATGGGGTTGGGGTGATGACAGTCACAGGACACTGTGCCACTTTCAAATGTCATAAACAACCTCAGTTTACAGCCCAGGCTCCTCTCCCCATGCTCCCTGCTGTCCCTGGGGTAGCTCTCTTGGGGCTGAATGAGCAAAACAACTCCAAGTCAACACCTGTTCCCTAGGGGAGTTCCATGTTCAAGTGGGAACACTGCCTTGCCCTCCTAGCAAACAGCAATGGCCTTTGGAGTCTCCCTGATTGGGCTACAGGGATTTATCTGCTTAAACAAACTCCAGTTTTGTGATTCCCCCTGATCTCTGAAATAGAGAAATGTTCAACACACCCAAAAATCTTTACTCTGTATTCTGGAGGTTCAGGTTTCCTGGGCCTTAATTTAAATGCTATTATGTTTTGCTAGAAGAGTCAGGAGAAACACTTCAGTCCTGAGCACTCTCTGTGCCTGAAAGCCCCTTCTGTCTGTGGATGGGACCATGTCTGTTCAGCAGCCAGGACCCAGCCTTGTTTTACCTGTCCTGACCAAACTCTCCTTAACAAATCACAGGATTCCAGGATACAGCAGCACAGAATAGAAGCTGGAGCTAAAACTCCTGAGTGCTTGTAGGAGTGTGCAAATGGAGCCCATTGCCCTAGCAGAGCTCCCTTTGCTGTACCAAGTGCCCACTGCAGTAGCTGTGCCTGCTGTGTGCTGAGGAGCCTCTCAGGCTGCAGTCACCTAAACCTGGAGCCTCTTACCTCCATCACATCAGCTGCTGCAAATTTGGATGAGAACAGCACAGTCTGGGAGGCCCCTTCTCTGCTGGACAGCCCACCTGAGTGGGTGGGAATAACTGCTTCTGTCCTTGCCTCAGGTAAAATCAAGAGGGAGGAAGAAGGTTTAATGTCTGGGATCATGTCAGCAAACCAGTCCAGCTCTGGGTCTTGCACTGGTTTCCTCTTCACTTTGATGGTGAATTCTTCTCCCAGGCCAGACTCTGATGAAGACTTCAGCCTTTCCTGAAAGGTTTTTGGCACCACAGTTTCTCCCACTTGTTCCTCATGGTCCCACTTGTCATTGCTCCAGCTGTTCCCATGGCAAGGCTTTGTGGGGGGACTCAGTCTGAGGCTTTGGAATTCTTTGCTCAGCTGCTGGGTTCCTGGCAGAGGCCTTTCAGCTGCACCAGCTTGTGTCACAGTGGGGCAGGTTCCTGAGGACAGTTTGTGACTAGGGCTCCTGGGTTCAAAGTCATCCCAAGGCTTCTCATCCACATCATGATCAGCAAAGTAAGGTCCTGTGCTGCCCTGCAGCTCCTGGGGCTGGATCTGGATGTTCACAGTTTTCTCAGTGTCTGTCTCCTCTGGCTCACTCCAGTCTGGCCACTCCTCTGCTGGCTTTTCTGAGGTAGTCAGAGAGCTCCTGCTGCTCCCCAGGGTATTCATGCTTCCAGGAATTCCATTCAGGGGGGGCTCAGTGCCTTGCTCACCTGTGCAAGACAAAGGTGTTACAAGAGCAGAAGTTCTTGGCATTACAGGCACCACCTAGCATGGGAACAAGCCAGTAACTGATTGGAAAGAAAGCTCCTTCTTGGATTAGAAAGCAGGGACACCTTCCTGCTTGCAAAGGAGGGAATTCACCTCAGAGCCCTGGGGCAACACAAGCTGATTGCTGATAAGCACGAGGTGACTGGAAAAGGCCATGGAAGGAAACAGAATCAGCTCTATCAGAATGAGCTGCTCTGTAAATGCAGAGTATCTGCTGAGCTAGGAGGGGTGAAAGCACAGCACAGAATCTGCCATAAGAAAACAAATCCAAGCCCAGGCACTCAGTCTGTGTGTGTCAGCTTCCCAAACAGCCATTCCCTAGCAGGCTAAGGATCACAATCCCCCTCCTTCACTGTGGCCTTCTGTGGTTCACTTTCAGATCAGCACATGGGGGGAACACGCACATCTTTTCAAGCAACACTTCCTTGGTGAACACTTGATTTCTGAAAGGAAGCACTAGGGCAGGTTTTACCTGTCTGTGAAGCCAGGGGACTGTCCTGTTGCACAGGAAGCTTTTTGCCAGGTGCATTTGCAGAGCTGGGATTGCTCTTCAGGGGCTGAGAGGTTTGGTTTCTCTGATTGATCACTCCATGACTGGGGGAACCTGCCAAGATAAAAGAAAAGAAAGGACACGAGTGCACAAGGTGTGCTGTCAGTCTGAGCTGAACTGGCACAGCAATCCAACAGCTGCACCTCCTGATCCCTACAGAACACAATGCTCCTCTGTTCCTGCTGCCTGCAGCTCTTGTCACTACAAAGTTATGGCAACTGTACATGGTCAGCTTTGCTGAGATGTTCTTTCAAGACACACACAATGAATAAACTGATTAAGATCAGAGCAGATGCTTTAAAAATGCTGTTTGCCAGCTGGCTGGATCCAAAATCCCAACTGCATCACAAATCCCCTAGTACCTGCCTTCCACAAAAGCACTGCACTCACTCACAGCAATTCCAAGCATAACTCATGACAGTACACAAACCCTTCTCCAGGCCTGGGCATGGGCACAGCAGCTCTCTGGAATGAGAAATGAGTCTCTACTCTGAAAGCTGCCCTGGCACTGAGGTGAGGTGGGTGGTGGGCAGCCCAGGCCATGCTTTGGAGCTGCCCAGGGCAGGTGTATTTATTTCCCTGGCTCAGAGGTGCCAGCTTGGCAAGCACATGGCTGCAGGCCATTTTTGGGAGCTGCAGGGTATGATCAGTGCTGCTGATGGGAGCCTGGGCCACCATTTCCAAATGGCACAGTTTTGTGCCTTCCTTGCACAGGGCTCATGTGTGTCCCCAGCCAGCTGTGCCTGCCCTCTGGGCATCACCAGTGCCACCAGACACACGTGGCCCACAGGAAAGGAACACAGGGAACATTCATTAAGGGCACACCCTCTGAGGGGCTGGAGCAAACAGCTCAGTAAGCATCCTAAGCTCAGCCTCTTGTGCTGTTTTTTGCAGATCATCACTCACTGTTGAGGACAAAGGTGGGGGTTTTGTTGTTTTTTTCAATAGTTAAATCAGATCGGATTTTAAGTATGTGCTGAAAAATAAACCTGTGATCCAAAGTGGTTTATTTACTACAGTCTACTACTACAAGAAATAATTAAAGAAACTAATGCAGTGAGCCATCCACAGATTTTAATGAAGGGTGGTAGCTGCCAGTACACACATTAACAGGAAGCAAGCACTTAAACTGATCTGTCATGTATTTCATTTGGTATCTCTACATCTAAAGTTGCACAGATGCTGACTTTTCCCTTGTTATAAATTCTGAGTTTCAATATCCAGAGAAGCTCTCCCTTAGCACACTTGGTTCCAAGTTATCTAGCAGGTGCAGGGGCTACTGTCTTCACTTGCATTAGCTGAAAAGCCTCCAGAGAGCTGAGAAAATAGGGAAGTTGGTATTCCTTTTCCAATCTATGAATAGAAATTGGGGGAAGAACATGAGATTTACTGGTTTTAAGAACAGAAAGGACAGAGGGAATATTAAATAACTGCCTATGTAAGTCCTTCAGAAAGGAAATACAGTTTTTCCACAAAAGACACACTCACACACATACACTACCTGCTTTACTTACAGGGATTCTTAAATAAAGAAGAGATTTCACTTTTTCCCAATATATTTGGTATACTTAAAATACTTTTATATAACTCTTCTTCTGATATCAATTCTGTATCTGCAAATAACCTAACTTAAAATCCAAGTTTGGCTGCAAATTAGCTTTTTTTTTTTAAATTAACCTGTCACCAGGAACAGATTAATGATCCAAGAAATTCTGCCTAAACTGCTTGGACAGAACAGGCCAGCACCCCAAGAGCACTCTGACTGTATCTTTTACCTTCTGGGGAGAGATCAGCAGTTTTCATGAAACTTGGTGCAGAGCTTTTGAAGATCTTTGTTCTTTCTCCACCCACAACCACTTCAGGCCCAAGCAGGGAGACGAGGACAGCCAGGCTGTGCAGGGTTATGGCCACGATGGAGTCACTGGTGTCCCTCAGGCCCAGCAACACCTGCACCAACAACACACTGATGGCAGCACAGCCCAAACTCTGCTTTTGCACTGCTTGCCTCCTCAAGTGCTGCTTTTGCAGCACATCTCATTTCTAATCCCCTGCAGCTCTCAGCAGAGACTGGATGTTGTTTCAGAGCATAAAATTCCACTTTGTGCTACCAGTTAAGTAGGGTGGCTGATGCTAGGGGACTCTGAGCAACATGGTCTGGTGGAAGGTGTTCCTGCCCATGGCAGGGGGTTAGATTAGATTAGATTAGATGGTCCTTCAAGTCCCTTCCAACCCAAACCATTCAGTGATTCTGTCAAGTCCCATATGTTGGGGAAGATGAAACAGGAAAGCCTTATAAATATGATTGCCTGGCAAAAGATTTTGAGAATATAGGAACTATAAGTGAGATTGAAATGAAAGCAAGCTTTGAGATCCCTCAGTTACTGAACAACTGGAAAACAAAGGCATGGCCAGCTGAAGGTAATCCCCTTTTGATGGAACAACACCCTCTGCTTGCAGACAGGCCCAAGGGTCAGAGCAGACCCTACAGCTTGGCAGGAGGGGCCCAAAGAGGAGTTTTTAGGGTTTAAAATGTAACACAGTATGGTAATGTAATGGATTATGTAATGGATAATGCAGGATTTTTATCTTGTATTAGACTGGTTAGTGAGAATTAGAATATTCAACACAGAAGATTTATGGTATTTTAATGGGAATTTCTCTCTCTTTTACTCTTCCTCACTTTTTCATCCTCCTTAGCAGGCTCTTGCCTTCTCTCTCTTTACCTCTCTCTCTCTCTCTCTCTTTGGGGCCTGCTCTGAGCTGTGGCTGGCAGCTCCCAGCAGGGCCCTGCACCCAGGCCCTTTGCAATAAACCACAAATTCCACGACCTGGCTGCAGAGATCTCTGGTGTCTGTCCATCCCATCCATCCCACCCCCATACTCCAGCATCCCACCCCCATATGCCAGCATACAGCACCCAATTCCAGGGTGCAGCACCCCAGGTGTGCTGTCCCTAACCTGGGGCAGGATGATGTTCTTCAGCTCCTCCCGAGAGAAGAGCTCGGCATAGGCGTGGATGTGAGACAGCAGCACCATCCTCACGTGCTCCTCGTGCACCTCAAAGAGCTTCAGCAGCACAGGGATGACGTGGGCCTGGAACAGGGCTGGTGACAGAAGGCAGCTGGGCTGGCTCTCCCCACTTTGCTCTAGGGAACAGAGGGGAGGATGGGCAAAGGCTGCTTCACCCAGCAGACACAGCTCAGGCAGCAGCTGCTGAGTGGTGACACCAGATCATTGCTAATTCTCCCCCAGCAGCAGCAGAGCAGTGCAAAGGAGGAAGCACAGGTAACTGTCCTGTTACAGCATTTGTTCTGTCAGGGAAACACCACTATTGCCTTGATGCAATCAAACAACTGCTCTGAATTCATTTCAAACTTGTCAGGAATAATTGTGATGAGGAAGTATTTAAAGGTCACCTTTCTTTGGGCCCAGCAGATGAGGAAGAAAACTCTTGACAGCTACAGGTTCTGCAAACACGAGCTGATTGAGCAGGAGAGGCACCAGCCGTGATGCTATCAGCTCCTCTGACAATCCAGCCACCCTGTCCAGCAGGAATCTGCATTCCAGGAGACAGCAATTAGTATCAAGGCAGCCTTCCATGCATTTATGCCTGTTCCCCTTAATATCATTTTCCCCTTTTTGTGTTTGACTCATGCAGAGTCAGTGTCCCACTGCAGCCTCTCCCTCTCTCTGCATTCTGACCTACAGAGAGAATCCTCTGCTCCTGCCTGAGGCAAAGACAGCACAGAGCAGGAGCCAGAAGCACATCCTGAAACACCCCACACCCGGATCACGGGCTGGCACAAGCACATCCAGCTGGCACAGGAAGCTGCTGGGGCACCAAACTGCCTCTGAGCTGCTGGCATCCCCTGTGAGCTGCACTCAAACCTGCAGCAGAGAGTTCTCCCCTCACTCCTCACCCTGGTCCATCCCAAGGATTTATTTTGCTGCTGCTTTGCAAAAGGCTGTTCTGCCTGCCACACAAGGGAAGTTTCCCTTTTGAAACCACTTCCCTTTTGAAACCACTTCCATGTAATGAGGCCAACAGATTGGGTTTATCAGAGCTTAGTTTTGTGCAACTGCTCCTGTCTGTCAGATTTTCATTTTAAAGTATTAATTATCAGTTACTGCTGTCTCTCTGTGCTTGGAGGAGAGCAAGAGAAAGGTGCACATGCTGGGAAGGCCCCTCTGCCTGATGGAAGGGCAGCACTCCCCTGTCTTGAAGCAAAGTGTTCATCCCCTCCCTCAGTAAACTCTGCTGACACAGAGATAGTGAGAAACACTCTGAATATTCCTGCTAAGGATCCCCATTCTCCTCTTACTTCACCACTTAAACCTCAAACTAATTAAAATAACTGATGTATAAAATAGGCAGGAAAACAGCTCTGTGAGAACACCAAAGGTCTTTTATATGGAGAAGAAAAACTCAGCTTCTCCCCTTTTCAGGCCTAGATAATGCCATGATTACACAGAAAATTCCCTGACAGAAAAATTCTTGGGGGCCACAACAGTGGGATTTACTGCAAGATGTTCCACTACTGCAGCTGAGACATCCATTACAGGCAACAGCTTTTCTCTTGGCACCACATGATTAATTCACCCAGCAAGTCTTACTGCAAACCCTCTCACTGGCACCTGCATCCCTCTGGAGGCTGGGGAGCATCAGGGTGATGCAGAGCCCAGCAGGGAATGCTCCTCCCAAACACCAAACCAGTCACAAGGAGCTGGGAAATGAGAGGGGGAGAGTCTCCTCTTAGACAGGGCTCTTACTTTGGCTGGAGTACCCAGAGTGTTACAGAGTGACCAAGGTTCTGCCAAAGCCACCAAATCTGCCACCTGAGGAAGCACCTCTAGCCAGAAGCCTTCCCACAATCCATTTGCAGAAAGGTGCTTTGTCATTCTGAAATAAGAAGCTTCCACATTACAGTTCCTTCACTTACTTGAAAAATTCAGTTTTCTCCTCCTCAGACTTTAGCGTCAAGGTCTTCAGAAAATTCACAACTTCCAGAAAATCATTCCTAAGCACAAAAGCAAAAGCTGTCAAGTGTAATCCCTATTGATGCTTACACCACTCACTGTGAAGAGACTGAAACCCCCCCACCACCCCTTCAGAAGAGAAAACAGAGGGACCCAAGTCAAATGCTGCTGGATCAAGAGTGCCAGCAAGGAGGTGACAGCTGAAGGCTGCCCAGCACCTCTTTGGGAGGGCTGGGAACACCTTCCTCATTCAGGGAGCCTCTTTGTCAAGGATCCCTGCAAGAGGCAGGGATAAAGTCTGCACTCCCATCCCACCTTCAAAGCAGCATCAAGACCAAGAGAGGCCTGATATTCCTGTCCTTACCTGAAGAACTCGTGAGACAACAGGCTGGACAGTGGTGGGCGACACTTTGGGTCTGGATTCAGCAGTGTACGGTGCAAGGTTTGCTGAAAGCTGGAGAGAATATCTGCTGAAACTGAAATCCAGAGCACCTACTGTTAGATTCCTCTCTCCACACTGAACAAGACACATTCAGGACTCCTCCATCCCCCACCAAACTTATTTTCAGCAAAAGTGCAAAAGGAAGGGGAAAGTAGCATTTCCATTTCCCTTCCCAACCTGCCTGGCTACTGGGCCTCCAAGGAGTGCTACTGTTCTCCCAAGAAATTTCCTGCTGCCTCTGTGCTGAAGTGGCAACCCCTGCTCAGCTGTGGCTCTCAAGACCCCCCTGCCACATCCACAACCCTTGGCAGGACCAGAGCAGGTTTGGGAGTGCTCGTGTCACACGGGCTGGTGACCTCCAGCCACGCCTGACAACATCCCCACAAGAAAAGGGGAACACAGGAAAAAAGTCTGCAAACAGGGAACAACCCTGCCCACTGAGCCCACAACACTGCTGCCAGCTGCAGAGCAAGGTGGGATGTTCAACCACACCAGCAAAATAAACCAGTGCCATTCATTCTCACCCTGATCATGGAGAACTGTCAGGAGATTCTCCACTGTTGTCCCAAAGGCGTAGGCGTCCCTCGCGTGCCCGTAGCTGCTGGGCAGCATTTTGAAGTCTGCAGACTGAAAACAAAACAAAACACCAAAAAAAACCAACCCAGCAAGGCAGGAGCTTATGAAATATGTGGTGTTTTCCATAAGTCTTTATTCCCACCCCCCACCATATACACTCTTTAGTTCTTTTTATAGCACCAAAGCTCCACTGTGTACCCTACAATATCATGCTAAAAAAACCTCCACTGGGGAATTTATAACCCAAAGGAGCAACTCCATCATGATGAAACAACTCCCTGATGAATGCAGGCAGTCAACAGCTTTCAGCATTTCTATGGAAACAGGCAGTAATTAGAGAGCAGAAGCTGCTTCTTCAGCACAGGCAGCTCCAAGGATTCTCAATGGCTGGGAAGTGACTGACAGGTAGGGAAAAGCTGTGCTGAGAGTTACACAACCATGGGACCACAGTGATCTGGGCACTCTCAGCAACTGCTCTGATTTTTGCAAAACTTTGGTGATTTAGAAGCAACACAAAGAGTTTGAAAAGTAGCATCACCTGTGCCCAACACCATTCCCAAAGCAGGGATGGGACAGAGGAGGGACAAAAGGAAACCTCAGATAATATCCAAGAGCCACTTCCATGCCATTTAGGCATGAGGAAATACAACATGAATGTAAAACTATTTCCTGCCCACCAGGTTTTTCTTTGCTGGCAGCAGGGAGCCCCTTGAGCTGGCACTCACCATCTCCTCGCAGGGGATGCACGACTGCTCTCGCACCGACCTCACGTGGCACAGGAACTGCAAGG